TAGTTCTCCTGATTTGTATTGAGACTCTTCATATTGAAATCAAGCATGTGTACAAAAGCTTGCAGGGTTAATTTCTTACCAGTATTGCATAGAGATTACCAAGGCCAGGTTGGATGAGGCTTTGAGCAACCTGATCTAGTGGAAGGTGTCCCTGCTCGTGGCAGGGGGTTGGAACTAGATGATCTTTAAGGTCCATTCCAACCCAAACCATTCTATGATTCTATGTACTTATAGTTGTCACTCACTAGTCAGGCTTCTACTCATCAATTGTTCTAGGCTGCAGATGAGGACTCTGCAAAAGAATCGGTCTAGAATACTTTTTCTTTTTTAACATTCACCCAAATCAGTTTATTAGAGATGGAGAAACTAACATTTTAAAGTATTTTGTTTTAAATGTACTGTTTCTGAATGCTGAGTAGAACAGGTACAAACAGAGCTCTAAATGCATCATTTCAATGTAAGGTGCTAATAGTTGCTCATAGTGAATTAATTTTTAAGTCACTCTTGCACAGTGAGCTGTAGTTGCAGGCAGGGAATATTGTGAGGAGAAAAATTTAAACTCAATTCTTAGTTCATTTAAGCTAAGTCTAAACTAAGTTCATTTTAAAGGAATTTGTCTTTAGTCATCAGAATTTTAGACCCTATTGGTTCTATGTAATTATATCTACTGGATGGCTTTGCAAATAGTCATATTTAAAAAAGGAGATGGTAATCATTATATCGAGTAGTGCCTGCTGTGTAGATGCTATGTCTACTTTTTCAAAAAGCTGTTCCTGTTGTAGTCTGAGCTGATGACAGCCTGTACCCTGCAGTCAGAGCCTGGGACATAGACTGAACACGTTGCCGTAATCCATATAATCAGGCTGATTTGTTCTTACCATCTTCATAACTTCAGAGGAGCACTATCACTTGCCATTTTCTTCCCCGTGTAGGTTACTAAATGTGCTTTTTGCCCTGTTGGGTGTCAGTTGTGCTGGCTGGAGCATTTTGTGTCCTACTTGTCCCAGGGTCTCATGGTCAGCACTTCATATTCAAGGCCCCCATCCAAAGCTGCCCTGTAGGTTTGTGTAACTTCTGCATTAAAGCTTATACACACCTGCTCCTTCACTTGAAGGTTGTGTGTATTATTTACTGATCTCTTATAGCTAAGTGGGAGGAAAAAACAAAATTCAAAGTTGTGACTATGCTTGTAGTTGAAGGTTTGTAGTAAACTTATAGTCTAGCTTTTGTAGCTGTTGATGTAACTTTTCCAAAGCACAGTTCTGGGAGTCAGTGTTATGAACAGATTCAAGTTAAAAAATTTTAAACTTTCATCATGTATTAGCTTCCTGCAATCCAAAATGACCGTGTACAGTAAGGAGCTAGAAAAAAGGAGATCTAAAGAGATTTTTACAGCTAGAAAATTAAAATTTGAGCACAATTGTACATTCATGGAATAGCGATCATAAATATAATTTAAGTGCAATACATAACACTTAAGGAACATTTAATTGTGCATAAAAAGCACTATATTGTTACGTAAGAGTTGTTGAAAGCCTTATAGCGTTTTTCATACATACTAAGTTGGGTATCCTTGCTGATTATAGGGTTAGGCTAGAAGCACAAATATAATTGATTCATGAGGCATATCTGTTTTTTGAAGACTTGCGTTCTTCTCCCCTACCTGGCCAGGATGTTGCCGTCCTCTGGCAGCTTTTTGCAAAGTCGATGTTTGAACAAACAATGAGATAATCTGCAAACCCAACTCCCCTTTTTTAGTAGGCTTTTGCGTTATGGCAAACCAGTACTCATGAGGAAAGATGTGTGTAAAGAATGGAGGGGTTTATTAATGAGTGCCACATACTTCTATTTGGAGTTGAAATATAATATCTCATTAAAATAAATGTTGATTTTTAAGGGATCCTTTTAAATGAGGAAAGTACAGAAGTTTTTAATAAAGGGTTAACACTTTAGCCGCTGTTACCATTAATATCAGATAATCCTATAAGAAAGACTGTAAAGTATTTGAATGGTATAAGGACATCAGTTGCTGGCACAGCACAAAGAGGTAATGTACAGAGGAGGTAGAGCAGTGGTTGTCTGTAGTTTCTTACTATTTCAGATATTTCCACCTTCCTAGCACAGCTTCTCTCCTCTTTCTGCCTGGCAGTGAAACTGTAATCCTAGAGTAATGGTTTATGGTTGTAAGGCTGGACTAAAGCACTTCCCAGAAGCACCAGAGAAAAGAAAATGCACAAAGCGAGCAAAAGACTCAGTCTGTTAGGAGAGTAATAGGATAAAGATCACAACTGGTATCTCCCTCCATAAAAAGGGATAAAAGGGAGCTTACAAAGAGAGCTACTATTAATATATTTTTAAATAGTTAGCAGGCTCAGAGGCCACAGTTGGATGTTATGTGAAGACCTGTAGTGCCATTATTACCTACTCAGTGGATGTAGTGACAGCCTAAAAGTTGATGCTCTTTGGCACTTTTCACCAATGAGTATGGAAGAGCGAATTTGATAGTAATACAGTGATGTGACACCAGTACATTAATATTTGCTGTGGCTGTGTGTTGTGGCTTCCCTGTAAAAAAATAAATATTTAAAAACTTAAACTGGCTTGAGAAGCACTGCAGCAGCTATGGGAATTCTGTCAAGTCAGGATAGGTGGGGTTGTGTAAACCTAAATTGCGGGTTGAGAAGCTGAACCACACTGATAAATAAAATACATCAGCAGCCTTACCCAACTGCTTGCAGTTCCAGTTCTGTGTACATTAATGAATCAGAAGGGTGAGACTAACCATACAAAACAGAAGCATCTGAAATGTACTTGAAAATAACTTTGCCTTCACCTGGTGTTAAATGAGTTTTAAATTAAGAATTTTCCCTTGCCTGCTGAGTCTGTAGGGATTAGTTATTTCGTGATCTTCTGAAATGCCTGGTGCATTGCTATATTTGAGATATTTGCTGGTTTGTAAATGGATTTAAGTTTTGTAAATATTTTGTCAACCCCATTTCAGTGGGTGTCCAGTTTATATAAAACCTTAAGAAATGCTGTTGTCAAAAAAATGTTTTTGGACATAGTTTATCCTGTAGCATCTCAAGCACTAAATAACAGCAATTAAAATTTGAGAGAGCAAATTAAGCTTGTTTTTTCAAGTTAACCTTGTATGTGCTTTTCTACTTTCAACATGGAAGTAGAATTTCCTCCAAATACATTTTCCAGCACAAAGGCTGAAATAATTTGTGGTGCCAAACACTTCAAACTATGTTGCTAAGCATGGCCTCCTCTTATTGCACTACTTTTAAGTTCAGTTTTTGATCATTTACTGTCCTTTTGATGGCCTTTTAAACAGGTTTTCCCCAAACCACTTTCTACTGTTTAAAAATGTTCACGTCCTTTTGATTACATCACTGAAACCTCAAAGAAATTTACCACAGACTGTGGCTGAAAGGGTGGAGTAATAGATTGGAATGATAATTGGACTTTTAATCTCACATTTCTGCAATATATCATATATGATTGAGATGTGATTGTGTACTCTTATGGAGTGATATACTGGAATATTCTTTTATAAGAAATTTTAGCCCCTGTAGCATTAAATTCTGCAATTAAATCTGTCTGTAATTGATATATAATAATGTAAATTATAACCCAAAAATTAAATTTTACAGTTAAAGATCACCCAGTGAACTATGTAAAAATATGATCTCCACTTTGTGAATCTTTTTTTAAAAAGCACTTTCCTATTACCAACTAGCATGTGAATGAATTTTAGATTCTCTCATTTGTTATGATCTGTAGAAGTGAAATTTCTTTAATCTGTCTGTTAATGGGTAAATCTATCATACAAAGCACCTTATATTATGCTGCTTAAACTTGCTTGTAATTGCACCTTTTGTTATCTGCAGATTTTTCTTAATGAGTATCCTTGTGTGATATCATTGTTCCCTGTGGGTCTGGGTGAATGATTAACTAACCTTACAGTATCATTTACTTACATACTTTTGATTTCAATACAACATTGTATTGTGAGTTCCGTGCTTCAGAAATAAATGCTACTTCCATTTTGTCTGCTTTGGTTGTGTATCATTGATTTCTCTTCTACAAAATTAAATCAAGACCTTCAGAAAACCATAATTTGAAAATTAAGTATTTTTGCTAGAAGCCTGACTAATTCTTCCCCTACTGAAATAGTCCCACTTCAAATTTAACTATTTTAACTTTGGCTTCAAAATAAATTATGTTTTAATTTAAGCTATTCTTTAACTGTGGGCATGTATTTATGTATACCAGCTTATTGCACTGACTGCAATTATTTAATTTTTAATATGTTCATAGTGGCTTATTGCACTAACTGTAATTATTTAATTTTTAATATATTCATAGCAAAGAAGCAATGAAACATCACCACCTTTCCTGTAGCTGGAGAAGTTGCACATCTTGCACTATTTTTGTACTATGTAAACAAAGCTTATATTTCTGTAGAAGCTGTAGCTTTACATTAACTAAAACAATTTATTTCCCATTAAACAGATAACCTTTAAGTCAAACTGACAGTCACACTTTTACAAGAAAATACACTTAAAAAAAAAAAATCACAGGAGCCATTTGAACCTTTGACAGTAGGTTAACATGTGTACAAAACTGATACATGGTCTCCAGCTTCGAAGATGATTTTATTGCATTTTGTACCATAAAACCTGAGATCATTCCATTTAAAGCAGGTGTAAAGTTCCAGTCATAAACATAAGGTATAACTGAAAACTTGTTTTTCTAAGTAGTAGTCTCAAGGTAAATTCTCTGAACGGGCAGGTTCCGTGGAACCCAGTGTGGAAGTGTGCAGTGTCCCACACTCAGGTGCAATATTCATTACAATATTGGTGGATGGTTAGACTTTTCTCCGTGGGTTGTAGCTCTGGAGATGTTTCCTTGCATTATCTGTAAGGTCACAGAACGTCAGAGGACACACTTCTGTTGCACAGCACTTATTTGCAGTCTTTTCTGTCAGCAGCTCATTAACAGATCACAATTACTGTGCCTGGCTTATCAGCTGGCTCTGTGTTTTCATTGTTAAATGGCATAAAGCAGAATTTCCAGCTGACAAATGGATCTGTAGACCACATCTCCTCTGTCAATACAACATCGTGACATCGACACCAGTATGCTACTGCAATGAGAAAGCTGTTGATGAAGTACAGCCAGGGAACATTCATCTCCATGTAGGCTGGAATCCGAGCACCGAGAAACAAAATGATAATTTGAAGAAGAAGAAAAGGTGCCCAAGTGCCAAGAAAGCAGATGAGGAGTCTGGTCAGGAGCTGCCACTTAAAGCAAGTGCTGTTGTTGTTAGACACGTACGAGAACATGAGAGCAGGTTGACTGGCAAAGGAAACTACCCTGACAGACAGCAGCATGGTTGTAACTTCCTTCCAACAAGCCACAAGAGCTGTGCCTATGAGAAGCACCATGGCACATGAGACAGAGTAGCTCTGCATGCTGGCATAGGGAGGACACTGATAAGGAGAAAAACGGTTCTGAATTTCTAGTTCTTCATAAATAGCAGGAACTTTAAGAATACAAAAAAACCCTGAAAGCCATATAACAACCACAGCAAATATATAAAGTAATCTTTGACTTCTTTTAGGAGACTGAGAGGTCTGGGCTATAGTCATATAATAATCCAGACCAGCCACAAGATACACTGGGTAATGCAGAATACCGTAGGTAAGTGAAATTATCTGAGTGAACAGGCAAATGTGGTACTTTGTAAATCGTACACCCCAGAGTGCAAAGTCTTCAAAATAGAAAATGAAAAAAATACTCATCAGCAGTGTGAAATCCAGAAGTGCCAGTGAAACACAGAAGTATCCCATAAAACTAGCTTTCACGTTTTTTTGCTGAACTTGCAACATGAAGAAATCAAGTGACACTTTTCCAAGCAAAATCAGGAGCAACATGCAGCTGGCTTCAGGAGGTTGGTTGACCTGAGTGTAGTGGTACTGACCAGAACAATTTTCACAGAGCATGGCAGCCATCCTCCAAGGGTAAGAACCAGCAAAATAAATATCACAGGGTACAGTGCTTCATATCTGAAAATAAAAAAAGGTTGTAAAAATTTATTTCTGGGTACCAACTAGTTAATTCTCCATCACAGCAGCTACCAAATTTATGTCTAAATTTTCCAGGCTCCTTAATTAAATGACTTCATTAACAGATCATTGTCAAGAAGTGCCTACATTTTATCTTTAAATTACATCTTCTTGAGAGTTAAAAGGTCAAGATAGACCTAAGTTACTTTTCTAGCTACTTTCCTAAGGAAAAGTTCAAGAAATGAGGTTGACTGTGTTCCTTTCCTTTAGAAAGCACTGGGGTCTTTCTGGACAGTTGGGCAGAAGGATGGATGCTTCAGAACTCCTACATATTTTGAAGAAATTAGATAACCACATAAGACAGACATTGTAAAGGCACAGGAGATGTTACAGTATGGCCTCACAGCTCACTATACTCAAAGAATCTATACAGAATTGAGACTGAAGAAATAGCCTGAAAGCAGAAGCAGCATCAACTGAACTCATCCTTTTTAGGTGCAAAAATCCTGTAACTCTGAGGTAATACAAAGCATACGTGCTTCTTTAGTTGGGCTTTCTTGTTCATCCTTTATCAGTATAAGGACTACAACGACAGAGACCTCAGAACAGCTGTTTTTCCTCTTGGACTTCCCTAAGTTTCCTTACAATAACTTTTTTCTCTGTATTACTTCCTAAGGAAAATTAACTTCTTGATGGCTTCTTGTACGTCAGCAAGCCATATTAGAAAAAGCTGCACATACTTTCTTTTCTCTTTCCTACAGAACCAGGATGGTGTCAGCGTTCTCAGTGCCAGCAGAGAAAAGCTGCGAAGCCAAGGCAGCTGAAACAAGGAATTGCCTCTTAGGATCTCTGTTAACAGTGATTCACTTGTATTTAAATAGACACCTACATTTTATTACCAGCTTGACAAAGTTAGTGAAAAAATATTTGAGTGAGTGTCTCCTGAAAAGCAGAATAAGAACAATTAGAAGCACCTGGCAGTGATGTACGCACTGAACTCGGTTACAAGCCTACTCGGGCTGGCCGCTTCACTCTCCATCTGCTCAAGTACACTAGCCCACACGTTACAGCACAATTTAAAACAGCCTTCCCTGTGTGTTTTCGTTCATATACCGGATGCTGTGCGTGTGTGTGCAGTCAGGAGGAAACCCCCCACCCACAGGCTCGCGCTGTGCAAGCGCTCACTCAACCCCTGTGTTATCCCGGTGCGGAACCACCTGCGCACAGGTCCGGCCCTTCCCCTGCAGCGCAAAGCCCCGGGCACAGCCGCCCGGCGCTGTTAACCCCGCTGCGGGCACGGAGAGGGCTGGGGGCCGTGTCCTGCC